ACGGTATTTTTTGGGACTATACCACATCTAGAAGCCGAAAAATATCTTCTATTTGCCAGTAAGTACACCAAAAATTAAAATACGTCTGTCGTTTTCTCACTCTTAGGTATCTTATAAAAAATGAATAACTACAAATTTTTCTGTTTCAGCCTATAAGAAAATAATCCTCGAAAACCAACTCAATAGGGATTACGAAGAAATGAAGTCTGAACAATGCTTCGGTACTGTAAATGTTGAAAACTTGAGATTTGTTTTAAATACAGGACATTCAGTGGGAATGAATAATGTCGATGAACACTACATGTGCCTATTGCATTCTGATGCTACTTTGCTTGCTAGTAATATCGTCCTCCCGGAAAGAAACGGTCAAATAATATTTCAACAATCCTTCCAATTCAACAATTTGATGTCCGACTTTGAGATATACATTAAGATATTTTCCATGGTTTTGGAGAATAAGCATAAGGTAAATTTCATGAATTAGTTTTGGTTAATGGTACTTGTAACTCTTTTTGTTGAATGTGATGTTTACGCATATCTTTATCTCTTTGTAGAAAAAAATGTGCCTTAGTCCAACCAAGATACGCTCAACCTGGAAGAATGGAAAAATATTTAACAAACATACAGACGGCTTACCAGAAACGTCATCCTTCCGATTACTCGGCACAAGTAAAATAGGGGTTTCCGATCTTTATAAAAGCAACTCGCTATATCTGGAAAAGGTATCTTCGAATGGGAGAATATCTGATACCTTCACAGCCGACATCCAAAGTTCCATAAAAATAACTAACAACATTAAAGGATTCTTAACCATCGGAACCACGAACATATTGTGGAACAGAAGGTGGTGCAATTTAGAAGGCCCGTTCTTGAAATATTGGAACTATCCCAGCGATGAGCATGATAAGGAGCCCATAGGCGTCTTTGATTTAACGAGTAGTATTACTCGTCAAGTTTCTAATGTCGAGAAATCTGTATGCTCCAGATCCCGGACAGTCATGCTTCAAATCCAATCGGAGGAACAAGGAGCTCTGACGCAATATTTCCTTCAAGCTGACAATTTGGTTGAATTCGAGGAATGGAAAAGGCAGATAAATTCAGTTTTATTATCGTTGAATAACTGGAAGTATCTAAAGAATTGTAATTTTTAATATATTTGTTTTGTGTGTACATATTCCTGTTTGTAAATAAAAGTGTAATGCAAGCACAATTTGTTTTTATTCTTTCCAGTTAATGTAAGCACTATAAGATATACTTTAATATGCAATTCTATAATTTTACAGAATTACACTTCACTTCAAAATTAATACACAATTACAAATGGAATCGAATTTTTAATTTGATTTTTTCAGTCGATAGCTAATCATATATTAATTTTTTGTTAGTTTAAAATTAATAGAAAATAATCCGATTACAGCATATTCATGGTACATGAAGTTTGAAACGCCGCCCTATAGGGTATATAGCAAAAAATCATACTCTAGTTCTCTTTTCTGAACATTTTTTTTTATTAATACACAATTAAATCAATATTCATCGGTTTACTGTAAACATTTAACAGATGACTTAGAAATTACCGACTCTATAGCCATTAACGATATTAAAAATGCTAAAAATGTGCTAGAAAAATTTGAAATGACATTGACAATGAAAACAATTATGTCTGGTTTTTAGTAAGAGTCATCAATGTAAACCCTATTACTAGAAGTGTTAACAAATGTACTTATTTATTTCTTTTATGCAATCTATTTTTTTTCTTTTTGTCACTGATTTTTATTATTATTACTGTTATGTCCAGAATTTTTAATTTTTACAATAAACTGGTGTATTTTAAAACAGTATTTCATTTAACAACAAAGAGAAATTGTTCTGAAAAGCTGGTATTTACAGGTTGATTCAAGTCAAGCGATTCTAAGACGAAAAGTTTATATAAACATAGATCCGGTCAGGCTTTGAATTTAAGATACAGTGTCAAGCTTTTTTTAAAAAATCGTTGTTTTGTAAAAATCTTAATAATCCTTTCACCGATTTTTTTTTAAATTTTGCAGTGCTATTTATGCTATAAAGGGGCTAATCTAAATTAAAATTAATAAGTCCAGTGGCATTTCAGGGAACACATTAAACAATATTTTTCACAAAAAAATGTGCGCCACTGACTTTTTTAAAACTTATAATTTTTTCGCATTAACCAACTAAAAATGCAAATTTTCTTTTGAATTTTTTTCGTTTCTTGTTTCTTTTTTCTTAGACTAGCATAGACTATTGATATGGAAAAAAGTAACACATACACTACACCCCAGTTTTTAACAGTTTGGTAGTTTTAATTTTTTATTGTGTTATCCCAGGGACACGCAATTATTATTTATTTTTTCTCCAAAAAGGGAGCAGGAAATGAAAAAAATCCAAGTGACAATATGTTGTATTTTTAGCTGCTTAATGCGAAAAAATTATAAAAGTTTTAAAAAGTCAGTGGTGCACATTTTTTTTTGTCAAAAATATTGGTAAAGGCGCCTCCTAGGGCGCCGCTGGACATAAAATTTTAATCTAGTCAGGGCTACATTAGCCCTTTTCTCCCATAAATAACACTATCAAATATCAATAAAATCGGCTAAAGGATTATCAAGAGTTTTACGAAATAACGATTTTTAAAAAAAAGTTTGATACAGTTTAACATCTTGAAAGCAAAGCATTACCTATGTTTATATAAACTTTTCGTCTTAGAATCGCTCAAAGAATCACCCCTTGAAGTTTGGCCACATACTTAAATAACACCCTGTATATAAACTGAGTGTAGGTACTAGGAAAAGGATTCGAGTTTTCTCTATTAATGCTTGTAATTCTTTTTTTATTGTTATATTTGACTTCAAATAAATTAAAATTATGTAAACATATTTCTTTAATAATATTTCAGAACAAGAATTAAAAAACAAGAATTATAAACAAATTTTATACAATGTTGTCATTTTTCAAGTAAAAATCTTGAACTAGTGAACTTGCTAATGTTTATATTCAGTTGAATAACTAATTGTGATGTTATCAACATTTTTTTTTAAAATCAAAAAAAAAAATTAATAAAAAAGGGGGCCCCGAAAAAGAAGGAAAAAACCTGAACAAAAGGTCCCTAAAAGAAAAAAAGAACAATTAACCCAAACTAACCAAAAAAAAAAAGGCAACCCCAACGAAAAAAAACCCTCCAAAAAAAAAAAAAAAAAACCAAGTTTTTTCAAAAAAATTGAAAAACAAGTTTTTTAGAAACTTCAAATTTGGTACACTTATTTTTTTATATAAGTTCAAAGTAGATAAAAAATTTGGTGATGATACATATACAGGATGTTCTCTTTCTAGTGCCTGTGCGCCACTGGCTATCCCGTAATTTTTTTGTGTGTACGCCAGTGATACCAGAATTTATATTTTTAAGAATAAACACTATTTTAGAAGATTTCTTTGCTCTTACAAAATTTTGATCTTTTATGGATTTCGAGTAAAATTGGCATTTTTATACATTAAATATAGGCAAATATTCCAATTTGTAAAAAAAATAATTTATAACTGCAACCTCAAAGCAGGGAATAATAACGAAAAAACGTCACATTAAAAAAAATAACTATACATTTTTAATATTTGAAATAAACAATATCAACTAATAATAATAAGAAAGTAAGTAATATTGTAAGAAAGTCAAAGTTAACATTTTAAATAAACCTAAATTTATATTTTTTATAAACACATTAAAATAATATTACAGTAAATGCTCAAAGTGACTTCCTTGTTCTTAAACACAAGTATTAGTTCTTCAAAAATTAAAATAAATTTTGTCCAATAATTGTGCATTACCTCTCATAACATTAATTTCATGTTGTATTCTTTCCCATTATTCGTTTTCTGTATTTACTGAAAAGTTATAAACTGTGGTCCTCTACGCTTTACAAAGGAAATAATTACATGGGTTTAGATCTGGGGATCGAGATGGCCATTTTAAAAGGGCATTATTTCCTCTACCTATCCACCTGTTAGGATAGTAACCTGTAATAACTGGACTTTTAATACTCTATTAACGAAACTTTTTGAACTGAGGAATTTCTTCGACCCTTTCCAAAATTTGTTCTTCCAGCTGAATAGTTCCAGGATTTAATGTTACAGGTAAAAAAACGTCGTTTCCCGAAGGCGTCTTTCCGCATTAGCAAATGTTTTGTGATTTGGAATTCTTCGATTAGGAAATCTTTCAGCACATGTTCAAACAGTAGCACAACAATTTTCTTGACAATAACCCAAATCTAATAACATATCAGTTTGTTCAGCAAAAGTATAAATAGCAATAAAAAACAAACTAAGATAAAATTAGATCACACCTCGCTTGAGACTGAACCTTTTAATTATTGTTATGAATTTGTTTCTTTGTTGTTCTAATTATCTTAAACTGATTTTGTATTATTTAATGTGTAAAAAATGCCAATTTTACTCGAAATCCATAAACGATATCAAAATTTAGTAAGAGGCAAAAAATCTTTTAAAATAGTGCTTATTTTTATTTAAAAATATAAATTATGTCTTCATTGGCATACACACAAAAAAGTTATGGGATAGCCAGTGGCGCACAGGCACTAGAAAGAGAACATCCTGTATATGTATTCTCACCTAATTCTATATTTACATTGCCCTTATATACAAAAATATGTGTACCAAATTTGAAGTATCCAAGAAAAACAATTTTCAAATTATTTAAAAAAAACTAGGTTATCTGTTCTATATTTAGAAAGCTATATCTCAGTAGGCGTGCATTTTTGAATATAGGTAAGTTAAGGTAAATAGTCTTATTTTCATCCAAGGAACCTGTGGTCAAGCGTTGTCCATCCATTTTAGGGACACCCTGTATATTATTAGTATGTAGCTAGATTGCGACGACGTTTAGCACATTATTCATACAAAAAGGCTTTTTGATTATAATATTCTACTAGTAGAATTAAAAACATTTCACCAAAAAAATGTTTATGTAACTTGAATAAGGATTATATTATTTTATTGAATTTATATTTATGTTCTCTGAACTTGAATATGGAATTTACACGATGGCATATTTTGAACTTCTGCGGTAACTAGACAATTAATATTTAAATTAGCTAAACTACCCCTAATAATACCACAAGTAAATGCAACATATCTTGGAGCTGCTTCTAAATACTGCTTGCCGTTGGAGAGTTTCGTTAAAAATCTGAACCCGTTATCCTGCAAGACGTAAACACCTTGATGGTTTGTCCTAAGGTTGTCTATTTGCTTTTTATATACTGCTGACCAGAAATCTGTGCAAATGAATTTCATTGTATCTAGCTCATCCTTGAAGCGGGGCATATCTTTGGTTAATCTGAAATTTAAAAAGGAATGGTAAGTAGGATGGCAAATTTTTACAAAAAAAAATACCTATATGACTTGCAAATAATCAAGATATGTTTTTTTTATTCTACCTTTCGATTATCCTAAATCCTGTAGAGAATCCAATGTATTCTATTATCGATAAGTCTTCATCCTAAAAGAAAGTATGTCCATATAAAGTAATTATTACTAACATTATTAAGCAACAAACCTTTGACTCTTTGTATTTTATTTCATTACTTTCTAGAGCATAATTAACAATCTCCGAATGAAGCAACTCAAATAAGGTTTCGTCTGCCATCTAAACTTTATACACCTTTTCCAATTTAATTTTTTTTATCTTTAGAATATTATGGATATGGAGTGAAAATAGTAAAATAGTAGGGTTAGGATTTATTGTTTTGACAGTTGACACATGTGCCATGTTTTTGAAAGCTTTTCATTTTTATTTACAAATTCACATCTGGATGTAACGTAGTTTATCCATCTCTCTCACTCTAAAATAAAAAAAAAACGTAGAAAGAGCACCACAAAGTAGTTTTTTAAATGTGTGGGAGCAATAAAAAGATAAGATGTGTTAAAAAGATGTCATAGTCAATAAGTGAATTGCGAATTATGCACCCAAAAACGTGAAATCAAAGAGAATCGTGTAGCTCTTTCAAAGTTATTTATATCTAGAGAAAGTAGTTATCAAATGGATAAATTCGTGATAAAAAGTTGACTCGTCAGGTAAAAATATGGTTGTGTTTGTCTGAAATTTGCATTTATATCCATTACTTTTGCAACATCGCAATTAACAGCTGATTTCTTGCAGGTGCGGCCCCCTGTCGGTGGAAAATAATTTCGTTCATGTTAGTTCTACAAATACTTTTCAAATAAAATGAGTGCGTTAGATGCTGCTGGAGCGGCAATAAATAAATGTGGTGTATGTGGTATTAGCGAAAACTTATTACGTTGTGCTCGTTGTAAAATAACTTTTTATTGTTCTAAAGATCATCAGAAGCAAGATTGGAAAAAACACAAAGGTACGTGTTCGAAGTCTCAAAAAGTTGATTCTGTAGAAAAAAAATACGGCCATATAGTGAGTAATCAAACGTCTACTGTACTACCTAGTGAGGGGAGTTCAGAAAACGAAATACTAAGTTCTCTGGGTGAAAACTTGTCCCCAAATAACAATTTTTTGGATGAGAAATCCACGACTGAAAAATCGTTAGTGTCAGATAGGTCTGTGATGCCTATAAGCGGAGAAAATATTGTCCAATCCAAGAGAAAAAATATCAAAGACTTTCCAGAAATAAATTTAAATTCTGGCATGCCTCCGTTTCAAAATAATTTTCATGACGATTACTTGGAAGAAATGTGTCGAAGTGTTGTCCATGATTTGACTAACTACGGTGTATGTGTATTAGACAATTTCATTGGTGCTGAGAGAGGTAAGGTAATACTTTCGGAAGTGTTAGAAATACAAGCGAAGGGTGTATTCCGTGATGGACAGTTAGTTTCGTCAAAAGGAAATAAAGAGGATCCAAAAACGATAAGGAGTGATCAGATTTACTGGGTGGACGGCAAGGAGCCTTATTGTGCAAATATTGGTTTTCTTATAAGTCAAGTGGATGCTGTCATTATGAGAGCTAATCGAATGGCCAATAATGGGAAACTGGGACAATATAACATTAATGGTAGAACTAAGGTAAGATTTTGTTGAACAGATGTTACTGAAAATTTATTGCCTCAGTTTTACCTACATGTATAAATGTAACTCATTATCTACGCAATTCATCTTCATAGAGATCTAACTTTTGAAAATATAATTTTAAGTTTGTAGGTTATCTGATTAGATACTTGTTTTTCATTGATTTTAGATATATCTTTATTTACAACTGTAGCGCAATTTTATAATTTGTTAAGTACCTACATTTCAATTTTACAGCTTTATACTCGTACAGTACCTCTGATTTGATTTTTTCCAGATATACCTAACATATTAAATAATTTGGAAAAAATGCGCAATAAATAAGTGATTTTTATTTTTATGTCAATGAAATCGTCTATATGTAAATACCAATATATTTTTGTCACATTTTGTAAATATGGTATATAATATAAGAATAAAATATATTTATTTAAAATATTACATGTCTCTCATCTCTAATCAGAATAATATCGTTTATTTTCTATCTTCAAAAAAAAAAAGGAAAAGATCAAATGCACCAATTTTTTATGACCATTATAAAAATATAGGTCATTTAACGTTTTTTTAAAACTAAATTTAAAAAAATAAATGCTCTGAGAGAAATGGTTAAAAATTTCCTTCAAAATTTAGGTAATTATCACATTAACTCTTCTATATATTGTGGATAATTAAATATTTATTTGTTTAATTTTCTAAATAATTTTTTAAAAGCAAAAATGACACTTGAGCTAAAAGTATATTTTTCTTAATCTGTTTAGGCATCATTACTATAAAATAATTACAAATATTACTTACATTTGCCAGATTTCTCATAAACATCAAGTTTGATAAAGCAAAATAAATATAATATAGTGTAATCAAGACACACTCCAAGGAAATTTATTTCATTTGTTGGTATAGGTATTTTCCTCAACAAAATTTAACAAGTAAGTTTACTAACCTGTAGTTTTTAAACAAAATAGATACCTAGGTACATACTGAATAACTTTCTTATTGGTTAGTTAGTTTCTTCTGAATTTATTTATTTATTTGTTCAAAGAGAAACCACTACACAAATTGATAAATAGCCATAAACTAGGCACATATAACAATTATAATTATGAATTTAATAATTATTCATATACACTAGTGGTAAAAAGTTGAATTGTCCAAAGATTTACTAAAAGTATGTCCAATGTTAAAGTTCATATGCCCAAGTACATATTTAGTGTTTTGATAAAAATTATAAATATAGAAATGTGTAGATAAATAAGTAAATATATTTGCAGATGAATTAAAATAGGAGATTCATTGTGACGTATCGATTCTTGGCGATTAAATAAGATAGCTTAAAAAAACAATTCTAATTAAATATTTAAATGGCTGCGGTGAAAGAAAGATAAAAAAAAGCTCGGTGTTTATTGCTTTAAAGAGACGGCGACGCGGCAACAAAGAGTTTAACAGATAGGTAATTCGATTACAATGAAAGTTAAACCAGTGGTATCGGTGGTTATACTGCAATTTTGTTTGTAAACAAAATAGGTGCCGGCAACGTACGCCGTCGAACATTTCCAGCGAGCACGGGTATTCCCTGGTTCCATTCAATGGTAGTAACGAAATTATCTGATCGTGTGTCATCTCGTTTTTGCACACGATAGCGCGCAACGCTTCCTCTCTCTTTTGCTGGGCGGTTTGTGGCATGAGGAAAGTCACGTACGCATTTCGTCTTATTGTTTCCCTAAATATGGATATTTATTTTTAGACTTCGGAAAAAAATATTGTTATATGTTAACGTGCGTACTAATTGGGACAAAGAATCTCCTTTGGTATTTAATGAAAGGGATAATAAAAAATTCAAATATCTAGGTAGTAAATAAGCATTTACCCGTGACGAAATGAAAAAAAATTGAAAGAAATTCCTTTAGTTGCAAAATTGGTTTTGTTTACTATTTTTACACACATTTGTTTCTATTGAACTCTGTTTTGTAAAACCGATGCTTAGATACATGCTAGTAACTGCCCACAAAATTTCGATATTTAAAATGTTTTGAATACAAAACATTTAACATATTTCCTGGTGTGGCCTTTTATTGTTAAAGATCTTTCATAATTTCAATAGATTATAACATAGGCAGCTTTCGCGTGACATTTTACATATCGATTTAAAAATGTTGGATATGGAAAGAGGTGATCTTTTAGGTAATTATTACGTAGCCAATCGAAAAGTTGTGTACCTACCCAATATTAAGTTTAATATGTATTAAAATATTAAATGGATTAAAACAATAGACACGGATTTTAAAATATTTATTTGACAAAAAGAATAGAGAGAATATGTTCGTGATCTGTATGAATAATCTTTGATGATACATTTTTTCAAAATAAAATTCAAACGGGCGAAAAACTCGGGGAAAAAGGAAAACTTCTATTTTATTTATTTTACGAAAAAAGTGATTTTCTTTAAAAAATAATCTAGTTTTAATCAAATGTAGAAAAATGTTTAAGTAAGCAAAAATATACAGGTATATTTTACAAAGAAACGATGTTATGTTTCTACATAGTGATTTTATTCTCAAAATTGAATAATGTATCAGTTAAGAAATACGTAAATAACAATTCTTTTTCAATATTTAATATGTACAGGATGTCCACATATCATCTTAATTGTAGGTATGAATAACAAAAAATGTTTAAGTTGAAATTCTGGCATTTTGGGTAAACAGTAAACGCAAAAGAATATTTCCTATGTATGTATCTAGGTAAAATAGGTAAAATCTATTTGTCTCACGTTGAAAAATTTTATTAAGGAAAGTTATTCACAATAAAAATATATGCCCATGTGTCAAGTTGAAACCGTAAAAGTAGGCCGATGGCTTCCAAATTTGAATTGTAGACGATTTTTTATAATTAAATTTTTTGGTATATTGTAGGAAGGTAGGTACTTTACCTAAACCGAGACACAAACAAAAAATATATTTTTCGTTCCTTACATATTATATTAATTTATAACTAAATAGAATCGTTCCTCAAAACTTCTGCAGAAAATTTTTTGTTACAGCAATATTAAGACGATATGTGAACACCTTGTATACAGTATATAGTGATTCAGCCATAATGTCAAGGGAAGATAGGGAAAAATTAGTAGAATACGAATACGCTATTAAAAAAATTAAAATCCATATTTACGCCGAAAAAATATTTTCAAATCATTATTTAAACCCCTTGGACCGCTTCTGACCGCTAATCCACAAAGGTTCATGGACCTTGACCCACGGTATACGTAGTGAACGATAAATAAACACATCTTTTTACCTAGAATAGACACATGAATGAATAAGAAATTTTTTACAGTTTAAATATTAACAAGAATTTTTATTTGTTAATAACAAATGTATAACGATAATAATTGATTGGGAGTGTTAGATTATTACAATGTAGAGTTTTTAATATTGTTAATGTTTTCACTATGTTTTATAATTGAATATGAGTTTTTAGAATCATGTTCAATTAATTATTCTGTTTGTAGTACGCATACCTAGTGACTTATTGCTTTTCAAAGAGTAGTGTGGTGATGATAAAAATGTCAGGACCTACAACTAAAAAAAACCACTCATTTGTCTATAGCACTTTGTTAATAAAGTTGCGAAGTAGGGTGTCGAATTAACGGGAGTTAAGGGGTAAATCTAATCATTTCCTAATACAGGGTGTATTTGGCCCACTTAAAATAATTACATTTGAACAAAAATAGAATGATTTAACAAGAATGATTGTTTTTCTTTCATAAAATGTAAAACAAAAAGTTTTCCCTCTTTTAATACCATTGAAGGAATTTTCCTAGGGGGAGGCCGAGAGCCAGTTTATTGAACAATTATTATGTGAAATCGTGGTTTCAGAAATACCAAGAATGCTTAAACCGATGAATTTAGTGCAAAAACTCAATGGCCAAAAGTGGCCTAAAGTGACTCAAGCTGACTGTTTTACACTAAACGCCTTAATTATCTAAACAAAAATACCTAATATACTTATTTTTGGTTTAATTTTTATATGAATTAAAACTATACATAAACTTGCAGCATGCCTCCCTGGCGACGCCCATGACGGTAATTATCTCTGTACAGTACGATGCGTACCTATTTATTTCCTATTTTAGGTTTATCAACTGAGGTTTGGCTGCTATTTAATTAAATTTGGTTTGGTTAAAAAGGTATGAGGCATTCGATTGGGATTTAATTAAGTAAGGATATAGTTAAGTAAAGTACCTAAGCACAAGGTTGATGTAAAGAAATATCTCGGAAGTCCAAGACCGAGACCGAGACGTTCAAAGTCTACAAATAAAAAACCAGCAATCAGTGCGCATTCAAGGCAGTTTTCTATATAAATTTTTTGTTTTTCAATAAGTACATCGTACGTTATCATTACATTCGTTATTGTTCCATGTTGTTACTGATGGAGCGATTAAATACGTTTTCAGTAAAATATGCAAGTTTCATTAGAAAAAATAATAAATTTTGCAGACAAATGATGATAAAAAAAAAATTTAATGTCGCGAAATCTATTTGATACATCCTTGAAGAATCTCTTAATTTTTTTCTCCAAATATTTCATCGCTTTTGTGTGATCTCGGAAATAGTGCATTTAATTTAAATAGACATAGAATTTATAATTATTGCGTTAACATATTCATTTTAACTGCAAAAGCTTGATCGAAATAATTTAGACCCCTGTATTCATTATTGAATACTGATTTATATCATAGTTTTATAGTTATTATAAAAATGATTAATTTGTTAGTTTAGTGTGTTTCGTTTAAAGTTCATCAATTCGTAGAGTCACAACAATAACATTTGTATACAAGGCGATTCATAATTAGGTTTGAAAAATGGCTCCAAAGCTACGTTAGATCAGAACAAAGCAATTATTAACCAAATGAGGTGTATTTGGCACCAAAATGCTTCCTTAAAGTTACAGGGCTTAAGGGAATATCAGCTTACTTTTTACCTAAAACATAAAGGCTGTTG